TCCTAAATTTCTAAGATCGTCTTTTGAAGTGTACAGAAATGATAAAATAATGTATTATCTATATATATATATAAAAATGAATTTCTGTCTGTCTGTCTGTCTGACCCTTATAGACTCGGAAACTACTGAACCGATTGGCGTGAAAATTTGTATACAGGGGTTTTTGGGGCCGTGGAAGGTTCTTATGATGGTTCGAGACCCCTCCCCCTTCTGTAAGGGGGGGCTCCCATACAAATGAAACAGAAATTTCTGCATAACTCGAGAACTAATCAAGCAAATGGAACCAAATTAGGCATGTGGGGGCGAGTGTGGGGGTATAAGGAGATAATCATAGGGGGTAGCCCCTTAGATAATAGGGGGGGGGGCTACGTACAATATAGCATGCTTTTTTTAAATCGGCGTATAAACTCAAGCTAATATTGAATCCCGAGCAAGACCGGGCACACTCAGCTAGTTAAATTATAAGAGCCGGTGAGTGGCCCGTGCTCTCCTTTGCCCATTCGTAACACTGGTTCTTACGACATAATAGACGCGGATGCTAGCCTGTTCATAGTAAAGGGCGTCCACGATGAAATTGCCACACTATGAAATTGCTCTAACTTTTTAACCGTTGGGTAGAATTTAATGAAAATTTGGGTGGATTTAGTTCATAGTGCATAATTTACATCCTGCAAGTTTTAAAGTCCTGTGATCAAAACTCGCGGAAATGGAGTCGAAAGAACAGCTCGTGCGTGATAAAATCTTGCGCATTCATCACGAGAACAAGGATCTCTCGCATCGTTCCATCGCTAAAACGTTGGGAATCGCGAATTCAACGGTGTCGCGAGTGATTAAGCGGTTCGAGGAACGGTTGACCACCGATCGGAAGCCCAGAAGTGAAGGAAAAAGTATTCCGTACAACACCAAAAATCACAACCGCGTAGTTGGGGCCTTCAACCGAAATCCGAACGCCTCCGTTAGGGATGTGGCTAAGAAGCTGCACCTAAGCCGAAGTTTTGTCCAGAAGGCCAAAACTAAGGCTGTGCTTCGAACGTTCAAGGTACAAAAGGCCCCTAATCGCAACGAGAAGCAGAACAAGTCCGCCAAAACCCGTCCCAGGAAGTTGTACCTCAACATGCTGACGAAAGTTGAATGCTGCATCATGGACGACGAAACATATGTGAAGGCCGACTTCAAACAGATCCCCGGCAACCTGTTTTTCACGGCCAAGGATAAGTTCAGCGTTCCGGAGCATGTCCGCACTCAGAAGATGTCCAAATTTGCGAAGAAATTCCTGGTTTGGCAAGCCATCTGCACGTGCGGGAAGCGGAGTGCACCTTTCGTGACCCAGGACACGATGAACGGACAGGTGTACATAAAAGAGTGCCTCCAGAAGCGGCTGCTTCCTCTCCTGAAGGCCCACAACGTCCCAACAATCTTCTGGCCGGATTTAGCCTAATGCCACTACTCCAAGGACGTGCTGAAGTGGTATGCGGACAATAAGGTCAATCAACTGTTCAACCCTCCCAACACTCCGGAGCTCCGCCCCATCGAGAAGTACTGGGCGATTATGAAGCAGAACCTTCTTAAACGACCTAAGGTAGTGAAGACAGTCGAGGAACTGAAGAAAGTATGGGTTTACATGCAAAAAACGGTTGATTCACAGGTTGTGCAGAATCTTATGGCCGGGGTTAAGGCCAAGGTGCGGGCATTTGCGTATGGACTGTAAAAAAAATACGAGTAAAATGGTAAAATGAAGTTTAATAGTTATTTCTCAATCCCTGAAAATTTGATGGCAATCGGATGAAAACTCGAATTTTGCGAATCAATTTTGTGTGTGGCAATTTCATCGTGGACACCCTTTAGGCCGGAAATGGGGTAGTTTACGCTATATATGCCTTACTTATTAATGTCTAAGGGGGAATACCCGTGCAATCGATGATTAGCAACATTACACGCACTATGTCCCAGCACGTTTATCGTTATCAGGGTATTAGCAGATCCTACTCCACCCAGCGCATTGTAGATTTGTTGAACGATACCCGAAATTTGCTCAGTTCAATGTACGTAGTAATCACCACCAATATAAAGATGAAAATGTTATAATGACTTGGAAACACAATGAAATGCTTGATTAGGCGCCCCCATCATCGATAACCAGCAGAATGGAGAGTTATCAGTGTCAACGACGAGTGGAGAGAGATGATAATTATCGGATATGGGGGGATGTCGCCGTGAATTACTGTGAAGCAGTTCGCATACCCTCATGTAAACATCTGTGCAAACATATGGTTTACTTGGCGATGAAAAACGTGTTCTTTTTGGTCTACGAGGATCATGCGGATCGAGTATCAGCAAAACCGGAGAACATCTTAGATTTTATGAGTGGTCTACAACAATTTAACGTTATCGTTATGAAATGAGTGGTACAGTTTGTTTGACGTATTAAGTTTCCTGGCTGAAGGTCAATGAAAATGTTAACCGTACTGTGGGAGGTGGGTTAGATTCTCGAGTTTTTTTTCACTTTCCTCGGCATTGGATATCAATGTACTTTCCTATACACAAAGTGATGCAATGGCAGGCTTAGAAGGCTCTCAATCAAAAACAACAAAATTTCGGAAAATTTAATGAAATTATTTCCTTAGTGGGTACCTGGAAAAGACCGGAAAATTCAACTAATTTTTGAGTAAATGCACTTTTGACGAAATAGAGTCGACTCGACTAATTTTTGGCGGCGGCCTGAACATCCGTGAGCTTAAAAATAACACACCAAGGAGAGAATTTATTTAAATTTCGGAATTTTTGTGTATGAATGCGTGTGTATATGAATGATTATGATTGAAAAATATTTCGATAAGAAGAAGAATACAAATTAAGTGACGGTGTTTTGAGCCTTAACAACGTTACAGGGCAACATATTAGGGATTTGGGGTTTATCTTCAGATAACACCTAACTGCAAGCTCTGCTTAATTTACTTTAATCTTCGTTTAACTCTTTATAATGTAAGATGAAGGCTGTGTTCCATTTGGTGAATTTTCACTTCGAAAATAAGTTGAAATGTTCGAACATCCCTCTATTATTGGTCAAAGTAGGTGTTTGCCAAAATTGATTCCTTTTTTGTCAGAAATAAGTTTGCTGGAAAAGGAGGGTTATTTGAAAATTGCCCATCTGTCAAATCCGCATCCGCCAAATGGAGCACCCCCTTAGCCACGCAAAACAAACACAAAATTAACTACATATCAGACCGTTCTATTGGCGTCGATTGTGATAAGATAAGCGTCAAACCTTGTAGGTACGTCGAGTGGAACCCGATATAATTTCGCGCGTCAATCAAACGCTACAAAGTGCAATTGCATTTGTTGTGCCCTTGCGAAGTCACCCACCTAATCTCTGCCAAATGCGATTAGGGCATATGGATTTTTTTCCTTTATGGTTCCACATTTTCGTTTGATCCCTATTGTTTTCGTCGTCATTCGTCGGTGATGGAATCGATTACCGTATGCGTCTGCAGAGGTAACACATGGCGATAATGGGCAGGATAGGGGGAGATTGAATTTTGGGATTTACGTTTGCAGTAGGATTGTCGTCGTCGTCGTCAACCTGGCTAATTGTTTCAATGTCACGATTGCAGCTGGCTTCTTGAGGAAGGTACAGTAAAACGGGGTAACATTGATAGTTTTTGAAGAATATTCTAAATATGTTTTACTGCAATGAATGTTTTTAAAATTTTATTTTTTTAAACAAGTACAGAGGACCCTAGTGTCAATTTTTTAGTAATATGTTTAACAGAAATTATTGCATTTGCACTATTTTTTTAGTCTTGTGACCTATCATCAGTATTTTGATTTGGGGTCACTTTGATAATGCTCGATGAATGTAAAAAACATGCGTGAAACTCAAGCAATTTATTTCAAGAAATACGACACTTTGTATAAGTATATAATCAGAAAACATCATAAGCAATGAGATAACAACATTGAATTTGTGATGGCTATATTAGAAACACATTTCATACGTGATTATTTGAGTGCCTATATACAAATCTATACAATAGTCAATAACCCATATTCTCGTTTTTGTTCAAACCGTATTTTCCAAAAAAAATGTATGGAAAATACGGTTCAAACGAAAAAAAAGAATATGGGTGAATATCAAGGGCAATACCCTAAGCTACAAAGTGGAACCAATGTTTCCAATTCCAGTGCAAGAGTAAATTTAATCATCACCCCGTTTTACGGTACCTATTTTTAGCAATCTACATCGTACGATGGAGGCTCGCGTTTTCGATGACGAGTGCTTTCCGGTGTGATGGAAAGGGACTCCGTTGTTGAAATCCGATTAGCGAATTTTCTGGAAATCTGCAGTGCACAAATTGTGCAACAGTAGCAGTTCAAATTGCCTTACTTCTTTGAAAGTTACCATAGAAACTGAAACAATCAATAGATTCAGCGAAATATGTTTACTGACGTCATAAACATTAATTCGAGTGTCATGATCATGATATTTCGGAACCAGGCGATCAAACCACACACAACATTTAATTAGATCTCATTCCGTAAAGCGTAGGTGACTAAGAGTCAATAGTGTATATTCTCGGCGCCGTTTTGCGTTTACATAGCGCGCACATATGTTTACGTTTATTTTTGCAGTACTTAATATACATACATATTGGCGAACCGAAATGCGCCAGGTTTTTGTTTAAATAAGTACAGTCAACTCTATCTAATTCGACAATGATAAGAACTTTCATGTTAGGGAGGACATTGAAGCGCGAAATTGAATTTAGGAAATTCCTATGGAAGAAATTGTCAAAATAGACTAGATTTCCATCGACTTTGGGAGAAATGAGTAAGGGAAGAATTGACTGTATTGACAGCAAACTTATGCACTCGAATAACTTTCTAAAGTCAATGCTGTTGTGTTGGAATTAATTAAGCGAATCTCGTGTGTACTGATTAACTAAATGGTTTATTTACACAAAAGCGGGCATTTAGTGATGATGCACTCTCTTCTCTTACAGATGGGCAGGAACACTCTGTCGACCAATATCAACGGTTCTTGGCATCAAATGGGAACTGCGGGGCGCGGATATTCTATCGCGAGATGAGGCGTACATTATCGTTTCCAACCACCAGAGTTCGCTGGATGTTCTCGGTAAGTAAACATGTTTCGAAATCCACACTGTCGCTCAGACCGACTCAAAATTCGGCAGCACAGTGGAATTACTCAAAAGTGAGTGGAATTTTCCGGGCTTTTCCAAAAAGAACTTCTCGAATAGGAGAAAAATCGATAGAGGTTTCCCTCAGTCTATTAGCATTCTCCTAGACTGAGTAAAATTTTCATGGATTTTCCTCACATTCGAGATGTTTTTATTGGTTTTCCACTGCTTTTACCCGCAAAATTCAACTTCACTTTTGCCGAAGTTCAGTCTGAACGACCGTGCATTAATTTTGATAATACCATAGACGAACACTAAGACCAGGGGGTCCAGAAGAAAGATGCTCAATCAGGAAGTACCAGACCATCGGTCCCAAACAAATTGAAGCCCTCCTCCGAAACATTGGAAAATCCACGAACCCCTCATCAAACTCTGTCAAATTTATAAGGCGAATCAAAACAAGCACAGATTCTAGTGCGAGAATGTGGTACGCTTATAGATGTACTTTGTCGGTGGATGTACTAGGGACCAATGGGCTAGTCAAGTAATGAGCTATTACTTTTCAGAATCGTTCCAGTGGCGTTTCCTTAACCCTCCGTTACTCGCGCCAACTTTTGTAACACGAGTACTCGCGCGTTGTATACTTTGTGAGTTTTCCATTGCCATTTTGCAGCCGAGCTACCAATCGATATGAAACCAACGGGTATTAATTAAAAAACTTGTCTTTAACTAAACAAGCTAAACTGTTGCCACAGTTAACCCACAAAAAATGTGAATGGAAACCGCGTAAACGGTGTCCGTACTACGTGGGATTTGACTTAATTGGGTACAACATGGAAAATCTCAAGATCCTGACCAGATAGAAAGTTACTGTCTTCGGCACAGTTGTTCTAGAGATCATAATCTTTTTGCTGGTGGAGAGAAGTTCAGAATTTTCTCACTACGCAGCGCTAGAATACATGTGAAATTATCGCATGTGATATATCTCGAGATTATGACCAGATAGAAAGTTACTGTCGTCGACAAAGTTGTTCAAAGGGTCAAGGCCTTTTCGTTGGTGGACAGTAGTTTAGAGTATTCTCCCTTCGCGGCGCTAGTATACTTGTAAAATTTTCGCATATATCAAATATCTCTTGATCCTTGCCATATAAAAAGTTACTGTCTTCGGCAAAGTTTTTCAGGAAGTCAAGATTTTTTCGTTGATCAGTTGATCAGAATTTTCTCACTACTCGGTGCTAGTATACACATGCAATTCTCGCATATACAATAGCTCTAGATTCTGAGCAGATAGAAAGTTACTGTTTTCGGCAAACTTGTTCAGGGGGTCAAGTATTTTTGGCTGGTGGACAGTTGTTCAGAATTTTCTCACTACACGGCGCTAGTATACACGTGGAATTATCATAAAAAATATCTCGAGATCCTGACCAGATAGAAAGTTACGGTCTTAAGCAAAGCTGTTCAGGATATCATAGCCTTTTTGCTGATTAACAGTAATTCAGAATCTTCTAACTAGGTAGTGCTTGTATACATGTTAAGTTCTCGCATGTGATACATTACTAGATCCTGACCAGATAGAGAGTAAATGTCTTTGGCAAAGTTTTTTAGGAAGTCAAGATCTTTTTGTTGGTGAACAGAATTTTCTCACTACTCGGTGCTAGTATACACATGCAATTCTCGCATATACAATAGCTCTAGATCCTGAGCAGATAGAAAGTTATTGTTTTCGGCAAACTTGTTCAGGGGGTCAAGACTTTTTGGCTGGTGGACAGTAGCCTGGAATTTTCTCCTCACATGGCGCTAGTAAATATGTACAATTCTCGCATATGCTAAGCTCGAGATTCTGAACAGGTAGAAAATTACTGTCTTTGAAAAAGTTGTTCATGAGGTCAATGCATGTTGCTTGGTGCACAATAGTTCAGAATTTTCACACTACGTGGCGTTCGTATACACGCTAAATTCTCGCATGTAAAATATCTCGTGATTCTGATCAGATATATTTCGCTAGTGGCCAGTAGTTCAAAATTCTCTCACTACGTAGCGCTAGAATGAAATTCTCGCATGTGGTTTGTTTCGAGATCCTGACCAGATAGAAAGTTACTGTCTTCGACAAAGTTGTTCAGGAGGTCAAAGCCTTTCTGGCTGGTAAACATTAGTTGAGAATTTTCTCACCACGTGGCATTAGTATACCTCCCTTACCTCAGTCGGTAAAGGCACAGCTTCAAAGCCAGACCATGCTGGAGGTGGCTGGGCTCGATTCCCGGTCCGGTCTAGGAATTTTTCGGGTTGGAAAATTTCTCGACTTCCCTGGGCATAGAGTATGATTGTACTTGCCACAAAATTATACAAATGCAAAAATGGTACAGGCTTCGAAAGCTCTCAATTAATAACTGTGGAAGTGCATCTAGAACACTAAGTTGAGAGCACGCAATAAGCTAATATGCTTTAAGCAATAAGCTTGAAATGCGAGGAGGAAGGAAGGAAAGGCATTAGTATAGATGTACACTTCTCGCATATGCTATATCTCGAGATCCTAATCAGATAGAAAGTTACTGTCTACAACAAAGTTGTTCAGGAGGTCAAAGTCTTTTGGCTGGTGAACAGTAGTTCAGAATTTTCTCACAAATTCTAGGCTTTAACCTCCTGAACAACTTTGTTCAAGACAGTAACTTTCTATATGGTCAGGATCTCGAGATATATCACAGGCGAGAATTTCACATTTCACTAGCACTACGTAGTGAGAAAAATTTTGAACAACTGTCCACGAGTAAACATTTTGTGATATCCTGAACAACTTTGCCAACGACAGTAATTTTCTATCTGATCAAGAACGTGAGATATTTTATATGCGAGAATTTCACATATATACTAGCACCATGAAGTGAAAAAATTCTGAACTACTGTCCACCAGCCAAAGGACCTGGACCTCCTGAACAACTTTTATATGAGAATTTCACGTGTATACTAGCGTCGCGTAGTGAAAAAATTCTGAACTATTGAGCACCAAGCAGTAGGCTTCGATCTCCTGAAAAACTTTGTGAAAGACAGTAACTTGCTATCTGGTCAGGATCTCGAGATATATCACATGCGAGAATTTCACATAGGGGAAATGACGGCTTCGGCATGCCAGACTATTTTCGGCAACTCAAATTGAAACACTATTTTCACTGGATTTTCTTACGAAAATACTTCGCTGAATGCATGCAAACGATTCTTTATGCTTTCAGCTTCAATTTGACTATATTATTACTACTGAGAAAAAGCAATCTAGCAAGGTTTTCTTGAAATGAAACACACGCACTACACATTGTAGCTGATTTCGAGTTGCCGATAATAGAACAGCAGATTTACATGCAGTTCAAATGGAACGGTTGCCGAAGAAAAACTGGTTGCCGACAATACTTGCTCTCACTAAAGAAGATTGGAGCTTTGTAAAAGCGTTTCAAAACAGTTTTTGATGATTCTTTCGACTGAAATTGTTAGAGCAGCTGGCAGCAAAAGATTGTAAACAAACCAATACTGCATATGTGTGCGTTCCTTAGAGAAAAAGGCTATAGAAAGAAGGTCGCTGCTTAGGTTGCCGAGAATACCTAAATTCCCCTATATACTAGCGCTACGTAGTGAGAAAACTACTGCCCGCCGGCAACAAGGCTATGATCTCCTGAACAACTTTGTCAGAGACAGAAACATTCTATCTGGTCAGGATCTCGATATATTACATGTTGTAATCAATTAAGTCAAATCCCACGTATTTAGTATGGTCACAGTTTTCGCGGTTTCCATTTACTTTTTCCCTATTATCCGCATTTTTTAAATGTTTACTGTAATCAATGTTTAGATCAAAACAAGTTTTTTGAGGAATACTCGTTGGTTTCAGATCGATTGGTAACTCAGCAACAAAATGGCAATGGAAAACTCATGTGTGTTGTACAAAGTACAACAGCGCGAGTAACGGAGGGTTAACCTCAATCTACCTGTTCATCAACTCTCAAAGCATAAACAATTATCAAAATATTGCTTGCAAGGATAGATATCGAGTAAACTAGAAGATTAGGTGTATTTTTCAACCGATTCAAGTATGAATATGGCATTAAATCTGGTTTTGAAAGTTAGTGTACAGGTAAAAAGTGAGGTTACGGGACGCCACTGCATGCACCCTTTCCGAAATTCATGGTTTAAACAATTCAACTTTTGGTTATTAACTGTGCTTTATGCCCTCGGAACTCAACGATGACGGTTTATTCTGTTGTGGAAGAGCTAGGGATTAAACCCGTGATATTCTGCTCATTAAGAAAAAACGATCCCTTCAGGGTCATCGAGCTTCTAAAAACCACAACACTCCACGACAAAATATGATTAAGTTTTCGCTTGGTAGAGATACGCTAAATACGCTAAATATCTTTAGTTTATCCAGAGTTATCAGTGGTCTTCGAAGTAGAAACGAACATTTCCTTTGTGCCAGTAGGACAGCTATTGAAACTGTACGACAAGGCAAACTGGTCTCGTTTGGCTCACAAAATAGACAAAAATATCAACCTTACATCTCATCGGGCCAACAACCTTGACGAACCCAGAAGCGGTATATCTATCCTCGATCATTTTGCAAGCTGAAGCTGAGAGCGTGCCAACTACTAGGATTATCCCGAAGAAAGAAAAGTTCCCGGACAAAATAAAACTGCTGATACGGCCAGGGTGCCTTCCATTCATTTTGACTAAAAAAATGTTTTATGAAATTATAGAATAATAGGATATCATGATGATATTTTGTATGTGTAAGTAATAAGAAAAGATTGTAAAGTTTGTGTTTCACACATCAAACCTGCATATTTAGCTTTTACAGAGTCACAATGAGCGTTTTTTCTGATCACCTCTTCGCGAAGAGTGAAGAGCGAAGAGTGGGTGAGATAAATTACAAAATCGGTTTTTGCGGCTCTCATGTAGCAAAATTGGCAGGTATTATGTGTCAAACACAAACTTAACAATCTTTTCTTGTTGTTAA